GAAAAATATTCATATTTGGCTGAGATATGGCGAGTTGAACACAAAAATCTGTTGAAATTTTTTCATTAAAAAAATTACTTTTTTTATAACTTGAAAACAAAAAAAGTTACAAATTTTATTTAAAGACAAAAAAGATGCGCTATGAAATTTTCTACAAGAATCAGTCGTCAAAATTGAAACTAGAGCGACGTCTAAAATTAGTCCTGCGGACAATACTTGTCCCGCGAAATCCACGCGTATCCCCTTATAAAATTCAGCCCCTCAATTACTCTTTCCTCTTAAATATCTTTATTAGCTTGAAAATGTTTATGTATAAAAGTTGAAGAAAGTGAAAAAGGAAAAAAACACAATTTTGTTGTATGTAGGATAGAATACCCATTTCGAACCCGAGATATAGACGATCGCAAAGTGCCGACAGATGGATCGATCATAGACCTCAAACTCTTGTACCAGTTGGAACTGTATTGCAACCAATGATGCAAAGAAGGCGAAGCGTAACGCAACTTACTTCGCCAAAAGAAATTACGGATGGCGCATCTAGATATTGTCTTGTTGCACAAGAGCATGATACAGATGGAGAACTTGAAACAAAATTATATAAGGTTTCGTAATTTTGTATATTTCCATACAGCACAGAAAGATTTGCAAACACATTGCAGAATGATTCCGTTGTAACATTACAATATTGCATGCTGGATGCGAAATGTTGCTGAATCATGCTGCAAGATTCCAACAACATTAAGATGTCCGCTTTTTGAAATATTACAACGAAACGTTCCATCACATTCTAATATGATATATTTGGATAAATTTTTCATGGAGATTCTAAAATAAAAAGTATTTTCTGTACATATATTTCACTAACTTTAATTTTTCTACAAATCGTATTTCTAGTGCTTTCCAAAAGCAATTGCCCCAAGCAAATCATAAATATTATCTACAGTAACATAATAACATACAATTGCTTGATAAGTTAATCATGGAATAAGTTAATTGCAGTGATTCTTTTTAATTCGAAGATACTCCAAATCAATTGAAATTGATTAAAAAATAATGGTATAAAATTTATTGATAAAGTTCGGGCGCTGTTTATTCCTGCATGCGCATCCCCTCCACTCGATTCTCGACTGACTCTCGTTTTTTGATCTGGAAGCACTGGCGTAAATACATCGTTGGTCACATAAATTAATATTTTGATAAATCATTTTCAGCAGCTTAATTGCATTTTGTCTTATCCAATAATGATGCATTGATTGTATTCAAAGTCGACGTTATATAAGTTTTTAATTTCATATTTAAAATTAACATAAAATTTAGTTAATGTCGTCAAGTGGTCGTCAAATAATTTATTAATAAATTTTTTATTCAAATGAATTACATTAATTATTATATCATAAAAACGTTAAACTAAAAGACTGTATTACATAAATATTGTAAAAAATTATAATATTTTTATATTATTTTTATAGAAACAAATAATTACAGTTTTGCAATGTTTCTGGAATATTACAAGCATATTACTGACATCTTGCGGGCATATTGTTATTTTACATTTTTGTAATATCTCTGTAATGTTACATTGCAGTCTGGAATATTGTGATATTGCAGCAATTTTCTGTGCTGTATAGGGTTATATGTGTACAGAAAATATTGTGATGTAATCTTAATTAAAATATACAAGTTTTACTTTTTTTTTTCTATCAAACAGGGTGATATATTGCCAACAAGTGGTGGCGGAGCACAAGTAGTATTTAACGATATGGAATGTTTGAAACAATCATCCCCGAAAGCGAGGAAACGTACTGGACCTGACGAGGAGGGATTGGACCAAGTAGATATTTCTACATTGACAGAAATGAAAAGACCACGAGTATAATACTTTCATAACTGGACATGTAATTCACATCAAAAGAAATGAAACGTTCAGAACATGTGATATATTTGAGATATATATATATATATCTTTATTCATGCTTGCGATTTAATCAAAGACTATAATCTTTATATGATATAATTTTTGTATCAATTATTTTTATTATTTTTATAAGATCCGAGATAAACATCATTTTTATAACATCAGGAGACGCGGTAGCGTCTCCGGCCATGTTCAAAAAAACTGTGAACGCTACAAGTCTCTTATCCCGAGCCACCAAAGTCCATTTTTGGGAGGTGCATAACTATTAAAATATATCTAATATTCGTACGGAATAGTTATTTCTGAAATATATGACAATACAATGAATATTATTACACATTGTTATATACAGGGTGTTCGGTAAAAATCGTAACAACGCTTAAGGGTAGATTCCTGAGATCATTTTCAGACGAATTCTAGTACCTAGAGACGAAAATGTCTAGGCTTGAATAATTTTCGAATTGTAAGCACTGGAAGTTAGCGAAGAATATTGTCAAAAGTTCGCACCTAAACGCGCGAACTTCAGGCGCGGTATTCTTCGTTAATTTTAAGTGCTATTACATCCTTGACATTTTGGTATTAGAATTTTCGTCTCAAAATGCTCTCAGAAATCTATTCTCTTAAAGAATCTATCCTTAAGTATTATTATGGTCTTTACCAAATACCTTGTGTGTGCATGTGTATTTTATACACATAGGGTGTCCCGAAATTAAGTTCAAAACATTGCCATTGTGTACGCACTTGCATACCTTATTAGTTAAACTTTGAAAGTTTATACTTAAAAAACTACTTTATGAGAAAAATGGTTTACACTTTCATCATATAATTTTTCACGAAATTTCACGCTGCAATGATATTATTCTCGAATTTTGGAACACTCCAAATGTATATAAATGTGCGCGCGTGCGTGCGTGCATGTGTGTGTGTGTTTTAATTTAATGCCGTCAATTATTTAAACGGGACACTAATATAAAGATGAAAATCTCAGTAGTCTGTAAATACAAAAATATTATAAGGTATAGCTTTACAATAATTATTTAAATTGTAAAGACGTATGCGGGCGAACGGATGGATCCGGTAATGAATTAGTGCCTGAAGTATTTCTTCGTAAGTTTAAAAGACTACAATTGTATGAGATATATATGTATGTATGTATATGCAACAATCAAATTTTTTCGCGTTTTGTCACTTGTTGACAAATAACATTGCTTTTGCGACATATCGATTTATCAGATTCTCATTGCTGTTTTCCTTTACAAACGTTACAAATCCGTATGAGTTATGTTTATCAAATATCCCATTATATAACTAGTAAGTCATCTACTAATATCTACAAAATATAAGTATTATTTTAATACAATGAATTCGAACAAATTAAAGAATTATCAGTGAATTCTTGTGTAAAGCAATTCGTTTCTCTTACCGCAAATTTTTTAACTCTCCTTTGTGAGGTTTTTCCATAATTCCAGATTTTGATCATTGATACCATAATGGGATGATAAAATATTAAATACACGCGACGTGTCTAAGAAACGCATTAGGAATATTAAATAGAAATTGATCGACGATTATTACATGTACATTTCACTTTCGCTTATTTGTCCAGGAAGTATTGGAGCTAGCCGGGCATGCCGTTCATGTTGATCATCATTTATCTCATCGATAAGTTCGGTGTACGAATATCGTTATCTATTCCTTCTATTATGTTGACGCTTTCGGGAAATGCGGCTACATCTAGCAAGAGATGATCAGTATTAACCAAGATTAACGATAAGTTGATAAGTGTCAAATACAATTACTAATTATAATTAGGAATTCTCTTTTATTTTTTTCTGTTTTCAATTTTCTTGTTTTTCTACTTTAAAGAAAAGAAATTGTATAAAATTAAATTTGTAATTAAATCTCTCGCAAAGTTATGTATAAACTGAACGTACTATCTGCAGAGTTTTGTATAAACTAAACGTACACTATCTGCAGTTAATTTGATTTCGTTTCCATAATTATTATATAGCTGTACTCCATTGAAGCCAACGTAGTACGAGTCTTCTCATGTACAGAAAATTATTATTTGATAAACGAATCCGTGTGGCATCGATGGAGCTTCGTAGTTGGAATTGAAAGACTCTAGTTCTAAAATCAAACAATCAAATTTTTTAAGAAAAAAAAATGCTTGGGCTTTATCAAAACATGGAGATGCGGCATCGACTTGCACTAATTTCGTATCAAGTTTTTCTTAAAATACAGATAATTACCTACAAAATGAAAAAAAATCGTCTTGATACGATGAAAATTGACCGAGTTATGCGCATTTGAAAAATGGCAAAATTTTGTTGCGTAGTGTATTTTGATATAAACTTTTCTTGCGCAAGAATTGTTTACGTATTAACGTCGACTTAAGTATATTTTTAAGAAACTTAAAAAATTTAAAGCTCATAGCGCAGTAATTAGCAGCATATCCAATCGCTCCGTATCGAATCATGCGTTTCTTTTTCGAAATAATGATTTAGAGAAATTGAATCGGTATGATTCTGTGAAAAATGGATCGATTCCGAAAGAATCGCTTGAGAATAGATTCTTCAAGAGCAAAAAGAATCGATTCTCGATGCATCGATACAAGAATCGGCATCACTATTATAATGCTCTGTGTACGCTGAGAAGTTTATTTAAAACTTTCTCCCTGTCTGCAAAGTTAATGGAACTCGTTGAGACTGTAATTCTCTGAGCCTGAAGAAGAAGAGTCTACTGAACGCGATCATTTAACCAAGAAGAAGAATAGCGAATCAGTATGTATCCTAACCTGAATAGTCGTGAACTTTAACGATTATTATCTCGATTCGCGGAGCAGAGCGACGCTTTTTTTTGCTGGATTCTTTCCTTTTATGCAAAAACGCGTCGAATGAGTATAATTTTATCGATTTTTGGGGTGATCATCCTCCATTTGACCTTTACCTAAGATTTTTATTTTAAACATTTTTGTATTAAATATGTTATTCAAAATTATTATTGATATTTTTAATTTGACATTGATAATTATCATTTATTCTTTTTTATAACCAGTATAGCCAAGAGAGTATTAAAAAAAAAGATAAAACTTTGAATCATTCGGATTGATTATATTATACAATGGATAATATATCAATAGACACAAGTGAGGACAAATTAGTAGCAGAAATTTCCGAATTGCGTGAATTGTTACGTATGAAAGAGGCTAAACTAGCTCATTTGCGAAACAAAAAACAAGTTGTACAAGAATATGGTTTAAACAATGACGAAATTTGTAGATATAGTCGGCAGCTCTTTTTGAAAGAAGTTGGCGTGAAAGGTATGTCATAAGACTTTTATATTTAACATCTATAAGAAAAGTATAATAAATATCTTAATAAAATTTTATTTTACTATATTTTGTAACAATATCAATAACATTTATTCATATTGCAAAAATGAACAAGATGCCAATGTGAGCTGACACAGGTTATTGGTGTACACTTTTCTTACAATTTATTAAAAATAAATAAAACATATATGTTTCGACCTATGATCAAGATCCTTCTCAGTACAAAATATAATATAAAACTAATAATTAAATACAAAATTATGATGGAAACGCATACAACTATACTTGATTATTTAAATTCAGATGATAATGTCCAAATTCAAGTTAAACTTGTTCATCAAATTGTTAAATTTAATAATTGCCAAGTTTGGACGACTTTTTCGTATAGTTGTTTGTAGTACAAGTTCCATTAGACTCCTCAGTTTAATGAAATTTAAATAAAAATTATTAGACACGACATAACTGTTTGCAGACAGATGTAAAATGATCTTTTTACATCTTCTTGCCAACAGTTATGTGGATCTGGGTTCAATTCTGTCTACTCCCCTTATACGTGATTTTTCACGGTTAAAGAGAGATAGTTGATTGAAGATATTAATGTGTAAAAGTGTATAAGAGATAAATAGAGATAGTTGATAAAAAGAATAAGAGATGTTAAAGTGAAATAGAGAATTAAATAGTAAAAGAGATACCAAGGTTGAGATATAAGAGTGTAAATAGATATAAATGTATATAGTACAAGGTTTTACAAGTTTAGTGACAAAAGATTAAGAGAATTAAGAATTGGATTACGAGTTGATTATTCGAATTGGATTTTCATTGCGTCATATAGCCTAATGGTTAGGGCTGAAGACGTGTTATTTCCCTCATCCAAGGGTAACTTTAAAAAATAACTTTAATCTCGTTTTATATCTCGATCCGTAGGGTAGAGCGACGCTTATTTCTGCCAAATTCTTTCGTTTTATACAAAAACTCGTCGAATAAGCCTAATTTTATCGAAATCGGAGATGGCGGGGATATTCTTAATAATTATCATTTTTTATTTATATTATGTATAAAAAGAGACAATACATAATTTTTTTGACAGATTCTGATTTTTTTTAGGTCAAAAGAAGATAAAGGATAGCTCCGTACTTATTGTAGGAGCTGGTGGTCTTGGTTGCCCTGCAGCATTGTATTTAACATGCGCTGGTGTTGGTTGCATTGGCATAGTAGACTATGATGATGTTGAAATAAATAATCTTCATAGGCAAATATTATATACAGAAACAAGCATAGGTATTGCTAAAGTAATTGCAGCAGCAGAAAGTCTCAATCGGTATAACATTTTAAATTGTATATTTATTGAAATTAAATGAAAATTGTTTCTACTAAGTTTTTTGTGCTTGTAATAGTTTTTTTTATTTTTTAATTCATTGAAAAAAAAAAGAATTTGTTTATTTTGTATTTTTGTTCTCACAGGCTAAATAGTTACGTAAAGGTCATTCCCTATAAAATTCAACTGGATAGTAAAAATGCTTTAGATATTGTAACAAATTATGATGTTGTAATAGATGCTACAGATAATGTAGCTACTCGGTATTTGTTGAATGATGCATGTGTTTTGAGTGGTAAACCATTAGTTTCTGGAGCAGCATTGAGGTTTGAAGGGAATTTATCAGTATTTAATTACCAAAAAAATGGTCCTTGCTATAGATGTATATTTCCTGAACCACCACCACCAGAAACTGTAACGAACTGTGGAGATGGCGGTGTTTTTAGTACAGGTAAAGCTTTTCTATTTTATACCAAGTTCTATATATATATATATATCTATATTTATAGTTAAATATATATTATTTTTATTTTTTATCATTGAACATTAGCTGTAGGAACAATTGGGGTTTTGCAAGCACTGGAGACATTGAAAATAATACTTGATATGCCTGATGTTGCTTCAGGACGACTTTTATTATTCGATGGCACGGAAACTAAATTCCACAATGTACGTTTACGTCCCAAAAATACAAATTGTGTGATTTGTGGGGAAAACCGTGTTATACACAAATTAATAGACTATGAAAAATTTTGTGGTGCAAAGGCTAATGATAAAGATCCTAATTTAAATTTATTAAAGAAAGAAGAAAGAATATCAGTTGAAGAATATAATAAAATCATAAAAAAGGAATCAAAATCTCGCATAATGATTGATATACGATCACCTGAAGAATATCAAATCTGCCACTTAGAGGATTTCATTAATATTCCTTTCACACAGCTTAGCAAGAATAACAATTTAAAGCTAATAAAAGACAATATAAAGGAAGCACAAAAAGAGCATCATTTAGTGGATTGTAAGACATTTTATATTTCCATTTTATAAATTCTTTAGATAATTTTTTATATGATTAATATAAAATTAATCTTGAACTGTATTTATTTTTGTAGTATATCTTGTGTGCAGACGAGGAAATGATTCACAAAAGGCTGTTCAATATCTGAAAAAGATATTTACTGAAGATACTTTAAAAATAAGAGACATAATTGGAGGTATCCATGCTTGGAGTAATAAGATCGATCAAAAATTTCCTAAATATTAATATATAATGAAAATTGTGTCATGTGTTGTATGTATAATAATATATAAAAGTATGTACATATTTTAAATATATCTTTTATTGAATATTATCATCAAGATAATGTAATATAAAAATTTATTACATTTATAGATTTTTGTGTATGTGGTTATCGAAAATATATATATTTTATAAAATATGTATTTAGATATATATACCATATATATACTCATTTAATACTAAGGTAAATAATGCGCATATACCACTACAGTGGATCTTTTTTGTGAGAAATTGTCTTTAATATAATTCAATTACGGAAACGTTTTCGGTCATAAATGTGACCATCTTCATTAATTTATTCTAATATATTGTGAAGAATATCACGTAATTTTTGGCGTTTCGTTCCGGGCTTCCACAACTAGACTCGTCAGTAAGGCATTGTAGTGGAAGCCTACCTTATACGTCTGAGATAGTTGTTTGATCGAGATTCTATATAGAGATATACGCGTATCATAGCACTTGCGAGAATTTTTGCGAATACCGATAAACCTCTGATGGCGGATCGACGTAATATTCTTCACAATTTTATCTACAGTAATATATGTATTCCCCCCCTCCTATCTTGCGGAAACGCCAAAAATTACATGATATTCTTCGCAATATATTAGAATAAATTAATGAAGATGTGATATATGCTCATTATTTATCTTAGTATTATTTTCAAACCACATAATCAATCAATATAATTTTATACACATTTAATTCGAATATTTTTCTATTTCCTCCACAGTTAGGCTAGTTTCTGGATGCTTATAATGAGAATCTGATAAATCTCTTAATCTTTCTGCTGCTTGTTCCGGTGTTAGGTCCCTTTGTACTTGAGCTAAAAGCTCATAACCGACCATGTGCTTCTTTATCGTAGAAGAACGTAATAAAGGAGGTAAGTATATTCCATGAAAAGTCCAGTATGGATAATCATGGTTCTGATGTGGACCCATTGGAGCACCTTTAATTATATATTAATAAATCAGTAGTTGTAAATTGTGCTAGATTAAAATGATACATAAATAATAAATAGAATATCTGACAATTATTATTCTTTACCATGCCATCCCATCGAATATGGAAAAGAACAGTGAAAGAGATTATCATATTTCGTACATAATCTCTTCATGATGACAGCTAGAGATTCTTGTTGGTTGTCTGATAATTCTTGCATTCTAGTTACTTGCTTTTTAGGTAATATCATAGTTTCATATGGCCAAACTGCCCAGAATGGCACTACAATTATCCAATCACAATTTTCCATTACAATTCGATCCTGTAAATTTATATAACTGTGATTAAAATCGAATCAAATGATGGTAAAGATAAATCGCAATAATTACTCTTGAGCTTTTTCATATTGTATTAAAATTGGCATTATTTATAACAACCAACCTTTTTTAAAATTTCTTTCTGCATATAATCAATGAGAAGAGGTTTCTTATTACGTACATAAAAATCTTTGAGATATCCGTCTTTTATTCTAATTTCATTTGGTAAAAATGAGCTAGACCATATCTGACAGTGCGGGTGTGCATTGCTACAGCCCATCAGAGCGCCCCTATTTTCAAATATCTGGACCCAAGTCCATTTTTTACCCAAATCTAACATCTCATAGATCCATCTGTTGCATTATGCAATATTTATCTTTCAAAAGTAATGATTATTTGAGTGCATAGAGTGCGTTTGAGAAGATGCTATTAGTGCTATTTGTATCATTCTATTTCTCTATTCTTATTTTATGTTGAACGATAAAAATAAAACAACATAAATAACGCACACTAATAATGTCTTTCTGAATGCACAAGCATTATACAAAGTTACTCACTGTTTGATTACTTCCTTGATTTCATGGATCTTCATCAGTGCTATCGTTACATTTGACTTTGGATGAAAGCACATCACTTTGCAGATACCTTTAGCAGGTCCCATTTGAAACAATTCATCATCAGGTTTTGGTGGATTTGGTACCGATTCTAGTAAAGCAGGAAAGTCATTCACGAAAGAGAAAGTATTTTGGTACATTGGAGTCACCTATAGTACAAAACATCAATCTTCAATGAATTAATAGCAATTGAACAAAACAGATAACATTAAAAAAATTAATTGTTAATTAATTCATTCATTAATCATAGAAATGGATTTGATCAAGGAATTGCTTCATTATGAAAAAAAAAAACTTCTATTTAATATTATATGAAATATTTTAAAATTTTGTCACAAAAAATTTCTATACATGAAGAATAATACAATATTAATATAAATAAAATAGAATACTAAATGAATAGCGATAAAATACTAAAATGAACACAGCAAAGCATCCTTTTATCGAATAAAATCAAAAATTTTAACATTTTAATGATATGAATTAAAACAGCAAAATGTTATTTGTACAGAATGAGACATTTTATACGATGTTCCAACGTTTTACCATGGAAAATGATTTATCGACTACAATTGAGGAACATGTAAGAGGGAATAAAATATTAATTTCCTATGATAAAACACCTTGGAAAATCCATTAAAATTTGCAGATATTAAAAGTTTATATTATAAACAAAATATAAATCAAATCTAACTTCTCCACTAGCTCTAACGTTTCCTGGACATAGTGGATTATTGGGATCGTAATCTGGAAGCTCCTCATCTGTACTAGATTCTATTTGACCTCCCCATGGTCGCTTCATACGATGTGGTGATACTAGTACCCATTCTCCTCTCAATGGATTATATCTTATATGTTGATGCCCTACAAAATAAATCGTAATAAGAAAACTATTATGTACATAGATATTGAAAATATTATTATATTTAACCGATTGGATCAAATGTGGCTGATAATGCGACATTATTTTGTATGTCTTTTGTTCCATACATGCTCCTTTCCAATGATTTATCACCTATCACAAATTTATAGAATTAGATAATCTATTCTTTAGATTCTAAAGGATATTTTTGCATCATCAGAATATGACAAAAAAGAAGAAATTTACAAGAAATATGTTCTATTCATATATCAGTTTATACTAAAGCTGCAATATTATATAACAGAAGTTAGATTTTTATCATGTATTTGATTATATAATCTTATAATCTCTACATATTTTAAACTATATAAAAATATCATATTATAATATACAAAGTATTATTGTAATATAATTTCTACTCCATATTATTTAATTTTAAAAAATGGATAAAATATTTTAATAAACATAAATTCTCTAATTTTTGTAAAGAAAAATTATTGTATATCTTACATTAAAAATAATATAACATTAAATGTTTATAACATTATAATGAGACTTACTTTTCGCCAAAATTTTTGTGTAAAAAGTTCAGTGAACAACTGAAATTTCGACAGAAATTCTATTATGCTTGATAATAAGGGCGACTTTAAAGCCCAAGGCACAATGCAAGGGAATAGCGATAGCGATAAGTTTCAACCTATCAAAAATGTGTATTCCAGTGTATTCGATTTCTAATAAGTTGAAACTTATCGCTATTCCCTCGCATTGTGTTTCCAGCTTTACGGACCGATAATCATGGACATAGGGAAGATTCGAACCAAAAAATCATGGACATTACCGACACGATCGTGGACATTGGCTACATAGTTCAATGTACTTAATCACTGCTTCTGGATGCAGTCATAATATTTTCTGAAAGCAATCGGTTAGATGGCGTTCAAGAAAAAAAACAGAGAAAAAACCGTAAAATTCTTCACGTATTTATATTTTCAAAATGAAACGCCTTATATATACGTATGAAAAATATTTATATATTCTGCTGTATTACCTGAATGAAAAATGATTATCGACAATCCGTAAGTTGTTATTTTAATTTTAATTGTATGCATAGACTTCTGTCAATAATCGAATTAATTAAAGACATATCTTGAAAAAAAAAAACTTGTGTGATGATAATATCTCTGTAACAAAAAAAAAAAAAATAACCTATTAAACATATAAATTTCTATTGTAGAGCTCAGAGCTTAGGGAAAAAAATTTGCACGGATTATTATGCAGACATTTGAGTGACAAAATGTGCTGCTATTTGCTGAAATATTATTTAATCCGTCTTTATCTTCAAAGGCGTGGCCATCCTATATCAAGAATCAAGGTTTTGAGATGTATGCTCTGTGGTATTGGCATAATAATACTACTAGAATTTTTTGGAGCATTTGTGCACATATTTGAGGTCACGTATGATGACAACTTTGTATATCCATACGAAGGCAACGTACATGAATTTGTGAATGCTTTGCGACGTAATGAAAAACCTGAAGTCAAACCTATAAACGAGTATAAGTATGCTTTTACTTTAAAACAGCCACAAAAATGTAAGGAAAATGCAGACAGTACGTTTCGTATTGTATATATAGTAAAATCGGCTATAAAAAATTTTGATAGAAGAACTGCTATACGAAATTCATGGGGAATCGAAAAAAGATTCTTTGATGTGCCAACAAGAACTATTTTTGTGGTGGGTATGCATCCATATGACCAAGAAGTTGAGGCCAAATTAAAGCAAGAGGCAGGGATTTACAATGATATCGTGCAGGCAGATTTTGTAGATTCGTACTATAATAATACTATAAAAACGATGATGAGTTTCAAATGGTTAGTCAAGTACTGTCTCAATTCAAAGTTTTACATGTTTGTCGATGATGATATGTATGTATCTGTAAAAAATGTAGCAACATTTATTAGAAATCCAGCTAATTATCCATTTTATTTAATGGAATCCAGAAAAATCTACAGTGCACATAAAAGAGAAATTAAACAGTCGGATTTAATGGATCATAATGATATTAATTTTAATAATAAAAATAAAACATATGATTTAAAAATAAAAATGTCTTTTAAGAAAAATTCAACTATTCATAAATTTACAAATAATAATAGTCGGAGAAATAATATGCATGAGAAACAAGAACAGCTCAATGAAAATCGTAAAATGGAAAATGAACACTTGCTCAAGCTTTCAAACACATCTATGTCAACTAGAACAAAACGACAACTTTTTGATTTTGAATTACCAGATGATATTAGACTGTTTGCAGGATTCGTATTTACGCGATCTGCGCCACATCGACATAAATTTTCAAAATGGTATGTCACATTAAAAGAATACCCGTATCATTTATGGCCACCATATGTTACAGCTGGTGCATACATCCTGTCTAAAGAAGCTCTATTGGATTTGTACTACACCAGTTTCTACACCAAGCATTTCAGATTTGATGATATCTTTCTAGGTTTAGTGGCTAAGAAAGCTGATATAGTACCGTTTCACTGCGAAGAGTTTCACTTTTATAAGAAAGCTTATACAAAACATAGTTATACATATGTTATAACGTCTCATGGATATGGAGATTCAAACGAACTCTTACAGATATGGAACGAACAGAAAGCTCTCGGAAACGCTTAAATATACATAAACAATGCAAAAATTTTACAATTTATACTATTACATGAATTTAGAGACGATTAAGAGAGATGATTTCCTATTTAAGAATGGAAAACAAAGTATTACATTAGCATATATACATATATATCAGCATATATTAGTGAAAATATCATAATTGGTATGTGTATATCAATATTAAAAAAAAATATATATATATATAAATGTACATTATAAAATATAACAATTATGTAAAAACTTTTAATTTATTTTAAAGAATACTCTGTACTCTTTCTAGAATAGATTTCATCCTACATTTCAGTCTTCGTATATACATAGAATATACATATATATCCCCTAAATAAAAAAATCAAATTTATTAAATTTTTAGTACTATACATATTCAAACATAGCATTTAAATGAGACAGAATTATGCTCTAATAACACTTATTGTTACAATGAATTATGTGCTTAGTACTTATTCATTGCTCTAGTTTATAAATAGGATTATTGTTCAGTTATACCTTTTATTTAACTACATACACAGACTGATTAATACTTTCTTTCTAACATAATGAAATAATTTAATTAACATATATATGCAGTTAATAAATTGTACAGACTATAAAAAACTTGTGTATCTAAAATTAGATCACAATCAAAGCTTAAACTAAAGATATCTTCCGTTATATTGCAAACAAGCACCGTTAAGCACCCATTGTCAAAAGTGCGATTTTCTTGCATTCCCAGCTAAACACGTGTGACGATCTTTGTGCGCTTCAGAACGGTTACAGTGCACATTTTGCCGCTATATTCGATATATTCGTTATGGAAGGATTTAGCATTAATTTCGAAGTCAATAATGACACACTGAAACTTATTACTTGATGTAATAAAAATAATAATAAATAAAAAAATAACTAAAAGATTAATTTTTTCACAAAAATCTCAAAAATGTTTTTTTTAGTTTTATTTTTATTTTTTAACAATTTTATTACAGCTAAGACTTTTTCATAGTTCGAAATGCGCAGACGCGAACATGGGTGGGAGGATCGACCAAATTCGGGAAAGTCAAAAGTTTCATACAGTTTTGTACGCTTTACATTATGGCTTCATCATTTCCATTCGTAAAAGCAAATATTTCCCCTCTTGATGTTCCTGGTGCTGTGTTAATTTATAATTCAGTTCAAGAACACAGCGTAGAGTAATTAAAAAGATGGTTGAAATGTAGGAAGCAAAAAACAAACGGAAAAAAATGCGAATTAGTTGAGAGGTTATTTAGTCTTTTATATTTTTAATACGTCCTATTAAAATAATATGATTATATATTATGAAATAGTATTAATAATATTATTA